CGAGAAACAGTTTGTGAAAAACAGTTTATGTGTGCTCTCTTCTGTTTTGGTTTAATATAGAAAGATTTTTCTGGATTGTCCAATATTGATTGCTATTGTCTGAATGAACATCGAATATAGCAGTCTTGTGTTTTTGGTGTTGCAGGGGATGATAAGAAGATTTAAGGTCTGGAACTAGAAAACAAGCTGGTGCTTTATTACTCTTTTCGGCATCTTAATCATATCCGCTCAGTTCAGTTCAGTTCAGTTCCTCGTCACTAGCACTCAAAACCCGTGGTGGAACTGAACCGTGCGGACATGATTAAGATGCCCGAAAGGAGAAGGAATGTATTTTTGGCTTCAAAGCTTGTATGGATCCATATGTTTTACTTAATCATGTGCCAAGTTTTGCAATTCAAGAGTGTGTTATAAAAATTAAACTCCAAATTTAGTGCATTTACTCTGAAAATGGTGCATTTTGTGATTGAAAGATCTCATCTTTTTTTACCTTCTGATTTCTTAAATTGCTTTATTATCGGAACATATGCTTGACTATACAGTCTTAAAGGTTTTAGCCTCTAATATCAATCCTTTTGGTAGAAGCTATGTCGAGGAACTTGGATTCTTTGTGATTGGAAGTTTACCATCGTATGTACTCTTTAGAACGTCTGGTTTCCTCACTATCCGAGGTCCTACTGGAACCTTTCCAGTCTTTGGTCGTATATCCTGCGTGAACATAAGAAACCATTTAATGTTTTTCTAAGTACAGATTGTTGTAAAGAAGAAAGTGAAGAACAGAACAAACACAGAATAGAGGCATGTAGCTTCAAACCTGATCAAAGATGGCAGTGGGTATTGCAAGTGTAGCAACAGCATTTGGAGAATCGACTATCCCGGAGATTCTTCCTTCGCATGGACAGCATGAGAGTAAGAGGTATACCTGTACACACCATCGTTACTTGATCAATATTTTTCTCTAGTTTTAATGCTTGTGATCGACTAGGTTCTAGGAGAAACATCTGGTTGCAAAGATCAGTACCTGTTCTTTCGAGTAACCGAATTTGAAGAGATAGTCAATGGCGTTGAGAACTGCTCGTTTGTAAGCAACTGTTGCATCTAGGTAATGTTGTCTCCC